CTACGGCATACGCGGGGCCAACGTACTACGGCGAGGAAACTCGCCTCAAGGCAAGTCCGTCGTTCACCTCTGTGACGGACTATGCAAATCACACCGATTACAGGTGAGGTCCAGTTATGCTGCGGAGGCACTTGCAGCCGCACATAACCTTGATGAGTGTTACCCTACGCTCATTACTCTCCACGAGCTTAAGGCAGGGGCTTTGACTCCACGACAACTACGAGACATGCGTGAAGTTGGAGGCCTTGCTATCAAAGTCTCTCTTACCATAGACGCTGAGTCCGTCTACAAATCTTTATCAAGCAGGGATCTCAAAATACCTACAGAACGGACTCTGCTTGGACATATCAGCTGGATACGTGAGCTCATGGATATAGGTATAGTACATAATGTGCAATGGTGTGATACTAGGGATATGACCGCAGATGGGCATACAAAGGGAAGCATCGATCGGGAGCTGCTTCTGGAAGTGATGTCAGGCACTCAGTCATTTAAGTATGACGTGAAGCAATTTGTTCCCTTTCGGGGTCCCGAGGACAGAGACAAACCTAAGTCTAATCAATTTTAGTCTGTCCTTGTTGCCCTCGCGGTCCAGTTTGCCAGCACGGGCGCCTACTATAAAGGCGCCCCTTTAGCTGCTCGGAAACGAGCCTTATATTTCACGCCTGGCAACGAGCCGGCTTCGTACAACTCAGGCTCTTTGCCTTAATACACATTTGCTTGGTGAGGTATGGCCTAAGTTTGGCTTACCTTTAACTAAGCCGATAGCCCTTCATTGTTTGAAGGGGCTGTCCTGTATTTGCGTGAAATACTTTGCGAGGAAACTCGCCTTACAGTCTGGTGTTTGACCAGACTGTACGCACTGTTTTCTTTTCATTGCAAACAGTCGTGCGCGCGATCTTTGCGTGCGACTATGCTCTCCGTCTCCTCCCCTCCCGACTTTAAGGGTAGCTCTTTGGGAGATGTTACAGTATCGGGAGCATAGCTCGCGCGCCGCTGCCTTGGGCTCAAGGCACGCGCGCCCTATTTGCCCGGACACTGCTTGTGTTCGCTATGTGCTGGAAAGATCATTACATCGATCTTATCCTATCTTACCCATCCACCCCTCATACTGTACCCTCACAGCAGAGCGATGGATGCAATTTGCCAGGCTATATGCCCTATTTGAGTTACCAGGCTCACTTTCGACTCAGTCAGGCTCGGCGCATCCCGTTGGGTGCGTGGCCACACGCGAACAGCACGCTCCGCTGCAGTCCAGTCGGGATTGCTGCGCCCTGGCGGGCGCTGAGCTCAGCGTCGCGCAATCCCAGGGGGGGGGGGGGGGGCGAAGCACGAAGGGCGGGGTTTTTGGCGGCTGGCCACTTTCGCGGCCCTTTGCCCGCGACACCTCCACTCCTTCCAGGGTGTCCCGAGGCGCCCCTCCTGCCGCGACACGCGGCCAAGGGGAGGTGCCTGGGGGGGGGTCCGAGGTTGAAGTCGCGGTGCCCGAGGCGCCGCCCCGGCCGCGAGACGCGGTCAAGGAGAGGGGCCCAGGGCCCAGGGGGCATTCGAGGTTGAAGCCGTGGTGTCCCGAGGCGCCCCCCCCCCGGCCGCGAGACGCGGTCAAGGAGAGGGGCCCGGGGGGCGATCGACGTTGAAGCCGTGGCGTTCTGAGGCTTTTCCGCGGCCGCGAGACGCGGCCAAGTGGAGGGGCTCGGACGGTGCTCAGCTTGGCGTCGCTCGGACGTGTGCATTTTTCCTTCGGCGAGGACCAGCGAGGAGCATCCTTGATCATTTGACGAAAAAACCACGCACGAAACCCAAAAATGCACAGGGAATGGACGTCCGAGCGATGGCCAGTCAAGGTTTAAGAGCCATGGTGCCGTGGTGTGCTGGACGCCCCGGCGGCAATGAGATGCGGTCAAGGGGGGAGAGCGAGCGTTCCAGGAGCCGTGGCCCGAGGTGCCTCGGCCGCAGGAGAGCCGCACGAGGACTCCCGGAGGACGAAAGTCTGTGAGGTGCCTACGCTTGGCATCGCTCGGAGGTGTGCATTTTTCCTTCGGCGAGGACCATCGAGGAGCATCCTTGATCACTTGGCGAGAATACCACGCACGAAACCGAACAAAAACACAGGGAATGGACGTGCAAGCGATGGCGAGCTACGGATTTGTTGGTTGCGTGTCTCGGCCGAGGATTCTTCTTCAGGGGGCTTGGACAGGCGGCGACCGTTTCAAGGGGCCCTCCGAGGGTCATCTTGGCTTCGAGTGCCCCCAGGGCCCCAGAGACCGTCCTCATCTTGGCTTCGAATGCCCCCAGGGCCCCCAGGGCCTCAGCCTCATTAGGCCCTCAGATGGCCCCAACATTGTCCGATATATCCTTATATGATTCCCTACTTGCGCAAAGAGCTCAAGAGGTCCGAACGGTCTCCAAGGTGCTACCCAAAGAGCCACCTGAGACTCATGACAAGTCTCAGCTGGCCCAAACAGACAGAGACCCACGTACTTATGTTCCAGCGTGCTCTCCAGATCCGGCCGACGAGTCGACGAGAACCCCATGAGGGCCTCCTAGGTTCCTCCGCCCCTGCTTTTTACTCCCTCCCTTCTTCATCGTACCTCTTTTGTCCTGCTACCTCCCCTCTCCTTCCTCCTTGCTCCTCCATCCCGCCCTCCTTCTTGCCCTCCCTCTGCTTCTCCTTCCGCCGTCCTCTTGCTTGACTCTTCTATCATTCTTGCTGCGGCCCTTACTGTCGAATTTCCCTCCTCCTTCCCTCCTCGTTCTTCCATTCCCTCTCTAGCCCTTCCTCTAAGATCTCCAGCCCAGGTTCCCAGGGCCCGTTCGTTGGATTTCCCGTCCCTGCGCTACCCGAGCTCCACGTTCCCTCGGTGTGTCGGGTTCGTCGGATTTCTTGCATTCGATCGCACCGCATTGTGTTGCATTGCATTGTTTTGTACTGCGTGTGTACTTATTACTGATGTATCGCAACGTATTCCGTTACATTTTTCTGTTTTGTTCGCATTTGCGTTGCAGTGCATGTTTGTTGCAGCTCTGTTGTTATGTGTGATTTGTTTTATTTGCATTGCGTTACGATGGGATGTCGTTACGTCCGCTTCACATAATAATGTTGCTTGAATTTCGCTGCCACTGCAAAGCATTGAATTCATTGCGCAAGCTTACAGTGGTTTGCATTTCGTCGCATTGAAGATGCCCGAGCATGACTCTGGCGGCAACGCTACGTCTTTAATTCATGGCCATATCGTACTTGGGTATGTGCGCACATGCATGTATGTGTTAATGTTTAAGTGTCGGGTGCTTGCTAGATCCTCAGCGCGCGCGCGAAGCGCGCGCGTGGTTCTAGCAAGAACCCCCTGGGGCGCAACCACTGTTTCCCCCATGGCGGTGCCGGGGGGTCGGGGGCTTCTGACAGCCCCAGGGTGGCCCCAGATGGCCCAAAGTTGCTTCCAAGATCTGAAAGGTGGTTTTCAGGCGGCCCAAGAGGCCTCAAACGCTCCAAGAGTTCTGAAAGAGGGGTTCCAAGGGGGCCCTCAGACCTAACAAGTAACCCGATCCCATGGAATACGTACATTCTGTACCTCCGCATTTTTCGTTTTAGAAGTATCCAGGACGTCCCAGGATGCCACCCAAGTCGGCCTCAAAGGCACCCAGCACCCAGAAGGGGGTTTTCAGGAGGCCCAAGACACCCCCAGCCTCAGAGGCGCCCGAACCGGCCCCAGAGGGCCCCAGAAGGCCCCAGGAGGGGCCCAAGAAAAACCCAATAGGTGGAATTCGAACTTACAGGGAGGCTGGAAAGAGGGTCAGGGGCCGGCCCTTCTACTCTTTTCGGCTTTTGCCTATTTTCAACGCTTGCCCCGCACCTACTGCGAAATGCCCATGCCAACCGAGCAGTTTTTTCAACTTTGATTATTTCCAACGCAATGCCTCGCCGACCGTCCTACTTGGTCACATGTTGTCGCGCAAAGTACGTGGGCAATTTTCCCGACGATGGCCCTCGGCCATCGACGGAGTCAGTGGTGTGCGCTCTTTCTTTTTCCAGCGGGCGCCTGAATGCATTTTAATGCGTTGGCCCAGCATTGAATGGCGCTGGGCTCGCTTGAAAAAGTGCGAAGGCGCTTGCTGGAGAAACTAGGTAACAGGGCCGAAGCGATGGAAAGGCCGGGAAGGGAACGCAGTGGTAGTCGTGCGTTGTCCCGAGGTCGCAACGTGTGAGATCCGTCGTTTCCAGGCCCCAGCTGGTGCCATGCATGGCGCGCTTCCAGGCTCCAGATGACTGCCGGACGACGACGGCAACGACGACGACGCTCGCGAGCCCTCGTTGGGGCCCTTGTGGGCCCTCTTGGCCTCGGGACCCTCTTGGGACACCCTCCAGGACCGCCGCCAGCGATCCCCTCCCGGGACCGCCCCCGCCACCCCCCCAGCGGGCACGAAATCAAGGGCTTCTCCTTCGACTCCATTGTTGTTCCCCCTCCTGCGGTACTGTGGCGATGGTGACGATGATGGTGTTGGCGACGACGACGATGATGATTGATAGTGATAGGGATGATGATGGTTATGATGTATGATGATGGTGATGATGGTAATGATGCTGATGATGGTAATAGCGATGAGGAGGATGAGTATGATGAGTATGGTGATGTTGATGACCACAGTAATGATGCTGATTCTGATGATGCTGATGATGATGGCGAGGAGGAGGAGGATGGCCTGGATTCGGCGGAGTGTGTGCCTGCAGTGATACCCAGCACGTGCACACAATCATTATGATGAGGTGGTGCCGGTAGTGGTCGTAGCAAGGCTGATGTTTGTCGACACGATTACCAGTTGCATGTTTGGCGAGTCGTATTATGTGTTGCACGGTGAGTGAAGTCATTCTGGGAAGTATGATGGTTTTGGTGCATTTGGTGTTGGTACGGGTGACAAGGATGTTGGTGCTTAGGGTCAATTAAGGAACATGCGAGGAGACAGATGCGGGAAACGTGGTAAGAGGACTGGGGGGGAACCCGAAGGATGCCAACGACATTGACGCCAGCACCATGCAGCTGGAGATGAACAGGCACCTCCTCCTGCTGATCCAGCCGCAGACGAAGAGGACTCCGAGGCTGCTACAGTCAGCCTTCGCCACCCTGATGCCGCGCCTGCACTGCCAGTCCCTTTCCTTCCCCCCCCTCCTCCTTCCCCTTCCCTCTGCCCCCCATCCCTGCCCCCCCTCCTGCTGCCACAGGCCAGAAGCACCCGGCGCCGTGCGTGTGCAGTCGGGGCCCACCCCGAGGCCGTCCCGAGGGCACGCCGGCGCGAGGCGGCGAGGCGGATCCCGTCTCGAGGGCCGCCCCGGCGCCGAGCCCGCGGAGCCGCGCCGCCCGCGCCCGCGAGGGGAGCGCGGCGGCAAGGGGCGCCGGAGGTGGCTGGGACGGCGGCTTGGCGTCGCTCGGAGGTGTGCATTTTTCCTTCGGCGAGGGCCATCGAGGAGCATCCTTGATCAGACGAAAAAAAAAGCCACGCACGAAACCGAAGAAAAACACAGGGAAGGGACGTCCGGGCGATGGCCATCGCTCGGACGTCGGAGGTCCTGGGGTCGGCGCGCAGCCGCGTCGGCTCAAGGGCCGCTCGGGCGCCGGCTGCGGCCGTCCACGCGAGCGGTCGTGTTCGCCATGGGGAGAGCGGGTCCTGAGTGCCTTCGCCGTCTGTAGCCTCCAACAAGGGCCCTCCGCGGGCCCAGGGACTGTCAGAGCAGAGCAGCTCAGGGCGAAGCGTCGGTCCCGGGGGAAGGTCCTTGGCATCGCTCGGACGTGTGCATTTTTCCCTCGGCGAGGACCATCGAGGAGCATCCTTGATCATTTGACGAAAAGAACCACGCACGAAACCGGAAAAGGCACAGGGAAGGGACGTCCGGGCGATGGCCAGGTGAGGGAAGGGGGGGAGGCTCGAGTCACCTGCGGTAGAAGACGGGCTTGCACCTCGCGCGCACTGGCTGGCAACGACACGCCCCTCGCAGGCGCCTCCGTTGCCTCGGGTTTCTCCATGGCCCGTCTGCATCCCCTCTTGAGTCGTTCGCCTCGTGCCTTGCGCGCCTTCAGTTTGTCTCGTGTCGTTATCTCGCCTCATCCGTCCGTTTCCTTCTCTATCTCTCGCCCCTCCTGCCTCCGCTCCCCTCCCGTCGCCCCACGTCTTCCCCCCTCTTGGCCCTCCTTCTCCTTCTCCCCCTCCCCCACCAAAGGGGAGACGATGATGCAGAAAGGAAGCGCGGCACCTCGCAGGCGGAACAGCCGTTCTGACGGCCCCGCCCCAGCCGCTCCCCCCGCCTCCCCCCCCCCGAGGCTCTCTTGTCGCTCGGTCTGGAACCAGGGAGTGTCGCCGACGATGGCCGACTGGGACCGCAACAGGCCGCCGACGTCTCAGCGCCCTCGCCCTCCCGCTCCCTTCCGCGCTGCTGCTGTTGCTGCTCCTGCTCCCTCGTCCCCCCTCCCTGCCTCCCAGACCCGCTCCCGTTGCGAAAAAATCACGACGGGAGGGTTTTCGCTATTTCGGCCTCCCGGGGGCTCTTTCCGGGCCTCGGGACCGTAAAAAAACGACTCAGGACGATGAACCGGCCCCGGGGAAGGGGTCCAGACCTCTGGGGGTCGACGTTGTGAAAAATTCACGACGTCGGAGGTCTGGGCTCGTACCAATTGCCTCGTCCCGCCTTGTCGTGCCGTCTCCCCTCTCCCTCCTCCCACCTCCTGCCCGGCTCCCTGCCTCCCCGCTCCTCCCTCTTCCCTCGTTTCTGCTGTGCGCGAGCAGGCTTCTTCCCTTATCTGCTCGCGTCAGGGTTGCCCAAGTCGAGGACAAGGCTACAATGGTAAGGAAACGCCTGCTCCAAGTTCGCCTCGACCCGATTGATGCGGCACAGACCAGCCGCGACAGTCGTTCCCAGAGCTGGCCCCGTCCTCTTCCTCCTCCTCCTCCTCCTCCTCATCATCATCATCCTGCTATTGAATCAGTACGCATTTCGTCCGTGCATGTCCTCACCGAGAATTGGATGGCGTGCAGCGTGTGGGAAGGCTCATCTGCCAAAGCGTGCACGTCCGACTGGCTAACCATGAGTGCTTCCAATTCGCTTCTGTGGATGGGAGGTTATCCCGGTTCCCTGATGACGAAGATTAAACTTAGCAGGTGACGGGGTCGACCCTCTCTACGCTTGGATACATTATCATTATTTGAAGATGTGGTAATGTGACACTTGCGGTGTCCTCGGTCAGGCCCAGCTCGGGGGCTCGGGCAAGCCTTGTGCAACGCGTATCTCCAAGACCCGACGATAACATCTCGGCCGGCTTGCGCGGGATCTTTTCCCGAAAGGTGGCGGTTGAGCTCAGCTGTTTTTTTTCATCCCAGTGGGATAGCGACATTCCTTTCATTCCTGCGCACGAGCGGGCACGCAAAGCGGGAGCACGGCGGGCCCCGTCTGCACACCAATGAACCATGCCGCGGCGACGCTGGGGCCGTCGCGTTGCCCCCTTGGGGGCACGTTGGAGGCCTTCTCGGGGCCATCTCGGGGCTCTTCTGGGGCTCGCCTGCGACTCCTCTTGGGGCCCGCGTGGGGCCATCTGAGAAGCCTTGGGGGTCCTCTTGGAGGCCTCTTGTGGGCCTCCTTGGGGAGATTTCTTGGTGCGCAAGACCAAAAATACCCGTTCGTGTGCACCCGCTGGGGCTCCTGTTGGGGCCTTCTTCTTGCCCTCTGGGGCCTCTTGGGCCGCCTTGGGGTTCTCTTGGGCCCTCTTGGAGCTCTATAGGGGGGGGCCTCTTGGGCCATCTTGGGGCGATATTGGGTGCCTCTTGGGCCGTCGTGGAGCGTCGGAAGCCCGAAAAGGCGAGAACGCGAAAATCCTTCAAGCACCAATGGAGAATCAAACTGAGGGCTCTCGTGGAACCCTGTTGGGGCGTCTTGACTGCATATTGGGCCATTCTTGGCCCATCTTAGAGCCGGCTTGGGCCGTAGGAGGCCATCTTCGGGACAGCTGGGCCAGTCTGGAGCCGTCTTGGAGCCATTCAGCCGTCTGCTCCCCCCTGATCCGTAATAGCCAACTTGAGCTATAGCACGCCCTCTAGTTCGCCCATCCCGTCCCAGGCATCCAATCTTGATCAGAGTGACGAGGCTGAACCGAACGGTCATTCACGGTCCCTGGGTGCGTGGCTGAAATAGAATTCCGCGATGCGGATTGTTGTTGTTGTTGATGTTGTTGTTGTTGCTATTGCTGCTGCTGCTGTTGTTGTTGTTGTTGCTGTAGTTGTTGTATGTGTTGTTGTGGTTGTTGTTGTCGTTGTCGTCGCCATCGTTGTTGTTATTGTTGTTGTTGTTGTTGTTGTTGGTGTTGGTGTTGTTGTTGTTGTTGTTGTTGTTGTTGTTGTTGTTGTTGTTGTTGTTGTTGTTGTTGAACATTATTAATTCTAAAGAATAATTATTGTTGGGACCCCTGGTGCACGGCCCCCCTGCGCCGCCTAGGCCGCAGCTACATTTTCATCATTTTCGTGAGGAAGCCTCAGGTAATTCGATGTGATCAAGATCCGGTTGTTTTGTTCCCCCCCGCTTTCCCTTGCAAAAAACACTATAAAATGACATTTCTTGTTCTAATATAATCAAATTTCAAGAATCCCTTGCAAAAAATAAGGTAAAGTGGACATTCGCGCGCGCAAGACGAAATCCTTCCAAAACCTTAGTGTTCGCAGCGATTTTAACATAAAAACATCAAAAAACCAATGGTTTTTCAACAAAAAATTGTCAAAAATCTCATCCCGCGCGCTCTTGCGGATTCGTAGGAAACCCAACACTTTTTAAACATTTCTGTCAAACGGGCTTTTGCGAGCAACTTTTTCGAACTTCTGCGACAACGGTTGCGCACCTGCCAGGGCCATCATCCCTGTCAAATAATACCATGCGGGACACATTCGTTTTTTCTTCGCGCGCGCACGCCGAAATCTCCAAAAACCATTGGGCTTCTTAAGAATTTTAGCACCGCGCATCATAAAATCACACGAATCGCATAGGTTAAAACTTCCTGTGGGTGTACGAACGTAGGCTTAACAACTTCTGTGGGTGTGTACTCCACGCCAGTGTAGTAGCCACGGTCGTCCGCAGGCCACGAAGTGAAGTGTCCGAACGTCATAGGGCGGGAAGCTGGGTGTGGGTGGTGGCGAAGAGTCGTGGGGATATTTGGTAGAGCTTGCACTGCCCCCCCACAAAGTGGGGGTATTGGCTGGCGTCGCATGAAAACCCTGGCACTGGTGAGAACGGAAGCGTTCGGGTAAAAATGATTGTTGTGGTTGTTGTTGGTGTTGTTGTTGTTGGTGGTGTGTTGTTGTTGTGTGTTGGTGTTGTGTTGTTGTTGCGCTGTTGTTGTTGGGTGGTGTTGTTGTTGTGTTGTTGTTTGTTGCTGCTGCTGCTGCTGTTGCTGTTGCTGTTGCTGTTGCTGTTGCTGCTGCTGCTGCTGCCGTTGTTGTTGTTGTTGTTGTTGTTGTTGTTGTTGTTGTTGTTGTTGTTGCTGTTGCTGTTGCTGTTGATGTTGCTGGTGTTGTTGTTGTTGTTGTTGTTGTTGGAAAAGGCGTGCGTGGGAGCCCCGGCCGCCCCCCCCCAGCAACCGAGCAACCGAGCAACCCTCTCTGGGGGGTTCCTGGGAGCGCCAAGGATTCCCTAATAGGATTTCCTAGGAATTCGATTGGCTTCCATAGGAATTCTATAGACCTCCCTAGGAATTCTATAGGCCCCCATCGGAATTCTATCGGCCTCCATAGGAATTCTACGGCCCCCCATGGGAATTCTATACGCCTCCATCGGAATTCGATGGGCCTCCATGGGAATTCTATAGGTCTCCATAGGAATTCTATATCAGCTCCCATAGGAATGTGATCGGCCTCCATAGGAATTCTATAGGCCTCCATCGGAGTTCTATAGGCCTCCGTAGGACTTCTATAGCCCCCCCCCCTATAGGAATTCTATAGGCCTCCATAGGAATTCTATAGGTCTCCATCGGAATTCTATAGGCCTCCATAGGAATTCTATGGGCACCCATACACATTCTGGAGGCGTCCATAGGAATTCTATAGGCCCCCATAGGAATTCTATAGGCCGCCATGGGAATTCGATTTGGGCCTCCATCGGAATTCTATAGGCCCTCCATACGAATTCTATGTAGGCCTCCATCGGAATTCTATAGGCCTCCATCGGAACTCTATAGGCACCCATAAGCATGTTATAGGCCTCCTTACGAGTTCTATAGGCCCCCATCGGAATTCTATACGCCTCCATCAGAATTCTGTAGGCCTCTATCGGAATTCCATAGCCCTCCATACGACTTCTATATAGGCCTCCATCGGAATTCTATACGCCTCCATCGAAATTCTATAGGCCCTTATCTGATTTCTATAGGCCTCCATCGGAATTCTATAGGCCCCCATTGGAATTCCGAAATTGGCGCAGCCGCTGGGGCCTTCGGCGGAGCTCCCCGAGGGGGGCCACGATCCTCGTGAGGGGTGTGCCGAAATTGACGCCGCCGCTGGGGCCTTCGGCGGAGCTTCCCGATTGGGGGGCCACGATCCACGTGAGGGGTGTGACGAAATGGGCGCAGCCGCTGGGGCCTTCGGCGGAGCTCTCCGAGGGGGGCCACGATCCTCGTGAGGAGTGCGCCGAAATGGGCGCAGCCGCTGGGGCCTTCGGCGGAGCTCCCCGATGGCGGGCCACGATCCACGTGAGGGGTGTGTCGAAATGGGCGCAGCCGCTTGAGTTTTCGGCGGAGGTACCCGATTGGGAGCCACGATCCTCGTGAAGGGTGTGCCGAAATGGGCGCAGCCGCTGTGGCCTTCGGCGGGGCTCCCCGGCGGCAGGCCACGATCCTTGTGAGGGGTGTGCCGACATTGGCGCAGCCGCTGGGGTCTTCGGCGGAGCTCCCTGATGGGGGGCACGATCCGAGTGAGTGTTGCGCCGAAATGGGCGCAGCTGTGGGGCCTTCGGCGGAACTCCCCGATGGGGGGCCACGATCCTTGTGAGGGGTCTGCCGGAATGTGCGCAGCCGCTGGGGCCTTCGGCGGAGCTCCCCGATGGCGGGCCACGATCCACGTGAGGGGTGTGCCGAAATGGCAGCGGCCGCTGGGGCCTTCGGCGGGGCTCCCCGATAGGGGGGCCAAGGTCCGCGTGAAGGGTGTGCCGAAATGGGCGCAGCCGCTGTGGCCCTCGGCGGAGGTACCCGATGGCGGGCCACGAACCACGTGAGGGGTGTGCCGAAATGGCCGCAGCCGCTGTCCTTCGGCGGAGCTCACCGATAGGGGGGGCAATATCCTGGTGAGGGGTGTGCCGAAATGGGTGCGTCCGCTGTGGCCGTCGGATTCCAGGGGGTTCCTGAGCCCCCCAGGGTTC